AATCAATAATTATGTGACTGAATGAATGAATGAAAAATGCAGTATGCATCACAAAAACTCTCCCCAAATTATGTTTACTTACTGAACTTGCCAACTATTTCTCAGATTCTTGACGCTCTGTGCAGTGTGAGACAAGTTGCTGGGATGCACACAAAGGGCACATAGGTAAACAGATTTTTAAAAGATATCAAGGAAACTAGGCCAACAAAACAAATGTCACATGTGCTTGCCATTCTGAAAAGTTCCCTTGTGGGTGACAAAAGGACCCTGTCCAGGATCAGTTCTGTAGTGGATATCTGTGGGTCAGGTCCAGCAGCAGTAGTCCGCTGGCTTCTCTCCAAAGTGCCATCTCTATCCCCTGCAACCCACCCCAGCAGCCACATCTGTGAAGACGCCCGGACTCCTAGCCTGTGCTGGGCCAGTAGAGCCTTCCCTCCCTGGGAAGAGGAGCTTGAGATAAATTAGAAGGTTGACTCGTTCTGCTCATGAACTAGGAAGCAGGGGCCCCATAAGCACACAGCTTAAGATCTGGCAGTGGGTCATATTCTGTTGAGAGCTAATCTGCAGGGAGAGAGAAAGAAGCAGCCCCACAGACCAACCAGAGACGGAAACAGGAGAGAGTGCCTTGCCCGGCTTCCTGAAGCTCCTGGTTTCAGCCCTGAATTGGCCCAGGAGCAGGTGCAGCCACTGCCTGGGGCTCCAGGGCACTCTGCGGTTATGCATGTAAATCTGTTCTCCATCTACATGTCAGCTGTGGCAGGTGGGTGCTCCTGCCACACACAGCCAGAAAGGCCTAACTAAGATCATCCCCAAGCTCCTTTCCCTGTGCAGTTAAAAGAGCATCTCCTCTGTCCCTCCTTAGAATCTGTTAAGTGGTTCCTTCCTTCCAAACACTGGCCTGGGGGAATGGCCCCTTGAGCATTTCCTTGTTTGTCTGCTTCTGTGGCTCCTTCTGTGTGAGTGGCAACTTCTGCAGGAACCAACATATGTCTCTCATCAGCCATCAGAAATCAGAAGATAATCAATAGGGTGGGAAAACTCAGTTACAGCGCTACTTAGAAAGATCCATGGCTCCCTCCTACCTCCTTCATGCTGGTTCCTTCATGCTGGTTCTTCCCTGTTGCAGCTCCTCTTTTCTGCTGGAAATGAAACCATCATCTCCCATTTTGCACCTCTGTGCCTGGTGCACTAATGGCTCCTGACCCCTCTGTATCCAACACCTCAGCCACTGGGAACCAGGGTGTGGTGGTGGAAAGAGTACTGGACAAGAAGACCACAGGCTACAGCCTATGTTGGCCATGTGGCCTCTCTCTCTGGACTAGCTTCCTCATCTATAAGGGGTGCGTTGGATAAAAAATGGTCTTTGACGCCTCATTTCCCCCAATATCCAGGGATTCCAACTCTTAGAGGGGGCAGCTGGAAGTGGACTGACCCACTGTGGGCCTTCCTGAACACCCTCCTGCCCTACCCACTCAAGATAAGCATCTACAGTGGGGCAAAGCTGGGCTAGAGGAACCCCCACACCACCACCCCTTGAGTCAGTCCAGACCCTCGAGGTGGTTCTTGGAGAAGTGACATGGTCTCACTGCCCAGTCACCTTGGCTGGAGCAGTGAGACCATGAAAACCAAAATTTCCCTTGTAGCTCTGAGCTGACCCCTAAGACCTATAGAATGTGCCAAAACGAGGATGATGTGTGAAGGCCACTAAGTTCTTTCCATCCACCTGGTTCTAAGATCTGAAGCTATGTTAGAAGGACCACTAACCACTCCACTCCTGCACCTGGGGGAAGAGAAGGCCATGGGGAAAATCCCCTCTGGTCTCTGGCACCCATATGCTGATCTCTCCCCCTGTCACTCCCAACCCCCCATCCAAAGTACCTATGCTGCTGTGAAGCCAGCAGGTATGTCTATACCCCAGGGCCATGCTGTAGTTTTCATCTTTAAATAACATTCTTTTATTCCCTATTATAAATGAACTAAACATATTTTCCTATTCTGAAGGTTATTTACCTGCTTGGGTAGCTGTCTCCTTAGCTTATAGAAACTTTTCAGTTTAATTAAGCCCCATTTATTTATTTTTGTTGTTTTTGCAACTGCCATGGAAGTCTTCTTCATACAATCTTTCCCCAGGCTGATAAATTTTGCATATTACAAATTGGACAAAAGCTTGATAACTAGGATCTGCACAGAACTCAAATTAATCAACAAAAAAAGAGCGAACAATACCATATATCACTGGGCAAGAGATGTGAATAGAACCTTATTTAAGAAGATGATAAATGACTAGCAAATAGATGAAAAAAGTGCTCATCGTCCCTATTCATCAGAGAAATGCAAATCAAAACCCCTCTGAGATATCTCACATCACCACAGTGAGAATAACCCTCATCACAAAGCCTCAAAGTTGCTGGCATGGATGTGGAGCTAAGGGAACACTTTCACACTGCTAGTGGGACTGCAAACTGATACAACCTTTTTGGAAGGAATTATGGAGAATCCTCAAACTCAAGCTAGACCTCCCATTTGATCCTGCAATCCCATTACTAGGCATCTACCCAGAAGACAAAAAGTCATTTTGTCATAAGGACACTTGTACTAGACTGTTTATCGTAACTCAATTTACAATCACCAAAATATAGAAACAAATAAATGCCCATCAACCCAGGCCTGGATTAACAAGTTGTGGTATATGTACACCATGGAATACTATTCAGCCATTAAAAAAGATGGAGACTTTGTATCTTTTGTATTAACCTGGATTGGGGTGGAACACATTCTTCTTAGTAAAGCATCACAAGAATGGAGAAGCAAGAATCCAGCGTACTCAATTCTAATATGAAGGCAGTAGATGATCTAATAAATGGTGGGGTAGTAGGACAATGAGGGAGTGGGGAAGAGGGGAGGAGGAAGGGGGATGGGGCCACGGTGTATGGCACACCTCTTGGAGGTGGGACACAATTATAAGAGGGACTTTATCTAACAAATGCAATCAACGCAACCTAATTCTTTGCGTTCAATCCTCAATTGAATGAATCCCTCAATGAATCCCAAACAATAAAAACAAAATAAATGAAGTAAACAGTATATATGTTCTTTCTCCCACCTTCCTCCTTCATCCCCTTTCTAACTGCTAATAGCAATTGTGTCATTTCTTCATTATTAGAAGAGAAAACATGTGCCTTCTGGTCCATCACTCTAATACCCTCACTTGCCCAGGACTTAGTTATTCAGTTAAACATTTTCTGTACAGACCCCTGTCCCTTTAGTTCTAGTTTCTCATTATTTCTTGGCTGACATAAGATCATATAGAAACAATAATGCCTGAGTTCTTGCACGTTCAAACCATTTTTCTACAGCATTCATTCCTGAAGTAAAGTTGACTGGACATAAAATACTTGGCTTGCAGTTTCTTTCTTTGAAGTGCTTATTATGGGTCCTGCTCATTGAATGTTGTTGTGAAAAAATCTACAGAAGAATGATTTCTTAGCCTGCCTGGCTGTCCTAAGGATTCTTTCTTTTTCTTTCTTTCTTTTTTTTGGCCAGGGCTGAGTTTGAACACCTCCGGCATTTGGGGCCAGCACCCTACTCCTTTGAGCCACAGGTGCCATCCAATTCTTTTTTTTCTTTAAAGTCTAGTAACATTACTAGACTTTACTCACCCTTGACTGTTCTGGGTCAATTTTTCTTGGCATGCAGTATCCCTGCCCTACAGGAAAAGGAAGATATATATCTCTTATTTCATCAGAGTTTTCTTGACGTAAATATTAAGTATTTGTTCCGCTCCAATTTTATTTTTATTTTCTTTGGTAGGTGCTTCAATTGTGTATATATTGGATCTCTTTTATCTGCCTTATGTATCTTTCATCTTGTCTTTAATCCTTTCTATTATAATCTCACTGTCTTCATTTCTCTTATTTTCATTCTCTATTTGGCTCATTGCATTTTACCTAATATTTATTCAACTTTTGTGTTAAGTTCTGTTTTTCTGTCTCTTTCTGGCTTATATGTCACATCTTCCTATCTTACCATTTTTTTCTTGAGTTTTTGCATTTCCAT